AACAAAATGTTTGAAAGTGGGAGATGTGGTTTTGATGGAGGGCACCACAAAATCAAAACTATTATGGGACATAGGTATCATAACAAAAGTATTTCAAGGGCGTGATGGACTTGTAAGATCTTGCCTTATTCGCAAATCCAACGGCGAGTATAAACGCCCTGTACAACTTATTTATCCTTTAGAACTCAATGACTGAAATGAATAATGATAAACTTAAATAGTTTATGTTTTTTTATTATTATTATTATTTTCTTTCAAGTGAATATTTGCATCTCATTTCAAATTTATTTGCATTTAAATGTTATTTTTCTTAATATGTTTATGTTATTTTTGTCTAATTTTTATGTTTAAAATTTTAGTGAACTCGGAGGAGTTCAAGTGGGGAGTGTTGAGGATTTATAATAACAGATGGCGCTGAGCGCAAACAACTTTTTTTATTATTTTTTCTTCACTTCTTAAGTTTCAGTTTGGATTTAACCACTGAACCACAATGAAATAAAATCCTTTTAAATATTACAATTTGTGTAATTATTGTTGAATTCGAGTCAATCATCATCAAAAAACTACAGGTCATCTTAAAATCAATTAATTGTGTAGATAAAATCAAGTAGATATGATTACATCACGATTAGATGTAATCATAATTTCAAGTGGGCTTGATTGCATTGTAACAGGGATTGTAGGTAATTGAATACTTTTAAAACAATGCATAAATTGTATATGTAAATGAATTTTTTAGTTTACTATTGTTTGGTTTATTAAATGAAAACTTTTAAACATAAAACTACACATGAAAATACGAATATAAATACACGAAAAAGACTTATATTGTAATTACTTGTAATCACAATAAGAAACGATTACGAGTGATTATGATTGAGTTATCAAAAAATATGATTACATTTAATCGTAATTGCGAATACATGTAATAAAAATATGCAATTACAAGTAATTACGATTACGTAATATATGCTTATTCAGTTTATATGTATGTATTATGTATGTAACGCATAAACATACACTGTATTCAAGTGCTCATGTATGTACAACATATTTATGTATTCGCACAGTAACTTCTCCTACAATTATTCGTTAGATTATGATTGCTGTTTAAAATGACTTTTTATAATCCTACTTATTGATTACATTGATTGCTTAAAATAAAATATTTCGGCCACTTGTAACTGTGTACCAGATATCGCGTCTTGTTGTGATTACAGGTAATCATAATAACTTTTTTATCTGAAATCGTTGTAACTTATAAAAATAATTACAAGTAGTTTATTACCATGAACGTTTTATTTGTAGTTGTCCCAATCGTAGCCAATTAGAGTATTCCTTTTTCATTTTTTTGAGCAGTGAAATTATTCAGTTATTCTTTACTAATGAATAAGGAATAATGATTGAAAATGATGAATGATTTATTCTTTATCTAAAATGTTTCTGACTAATAAATACATCTTTATTCATTATTCATGAAAATATGTATTCATCATTCTTTATTCATGATTCTGAATAACAAATGCCCATCTCTGAAATAAAGTAATTATTCAAACAAATTTCAGAATTTTTAAATACTAAATTTGGATAGGATTTATCACAGTTTTTACAGTGTTGAAGAAAGGGTATTACAATTTATGATTTATTGTTGTTTTAGGTGTATCCTGGTGGTTATCACAGTTTGCTTATGGACCTAGACGAAATTGCTGAAGATTGTTTTGAACAAACTGTCAAATGGCTTGAAGCTAGAGTCTGAAGTATAGTCATTACAAAATTTTTTTTGAAGAGAAATCAGCATTTCAACAAATGCTGTTTCTAAAGAATTCACTGAGGGAATTCATCTGATGCATCAATAAAAACGAACATTTAATTGTTGATTTCGCATCATGTTTTAAAAACTTTATAACGCACACACTAATTTCTATTGATTGTCTGTAGTATTTGCAACAGTAATCTCAATAAATGAGTCACTTGTTTGGGAAACAATTGAATTATTTATGTATGTTAGCGTTTCTTAAGCTTGTTATCTCTAAATTCTACACTGCTAGAAATTTCTCAGAAAAAATGGTTACTTAACAATTTATTTAATAGTTATTTTACCACATTCAAGCAAAACAGTCAAATAATCATAAATAAGATGACATTCAAACGATTAATTGCGAGAAAAACTGTTAACTAACCGTAATATTTCCCCCAGTCTCTTCAACACATGAAGAGCTTCTAGCGTCCTGCACTGCCCTATTTGTGACTCTGGGCTGAACGATACTCTCCTTCACGCATATATGGCAGCACTATAAAGCTGCTAAATTATCCCCGATGCCCAGTTAAACTTTTTTTTTTTACGGTTTTGAAACCATGCTAGTTGTAAATGGTTAAAAAACCGCATTTGCTATGTATTCATAGCTTCTTAAACATACTAGCTGTAAACGGTTTCAAAACCATAAAGGTGAACAATGTTCTTTATCGTAAACTTTAAGGTTAATTAAATGGACAGACTGTTGCCTGTTATTTTACCATAATTTTAGAATTAAAATTTTAACAGTGTATGTGAGAATTTCAAATTTTTTCTTCCATCGTGCAATGAAAAGAATAAACAATTTTTCATTTTCTGAAGAAGTAAGATAACATTTCCATAATTCATTAAAAGAATATTTATTCATGTATAATTTAACTTACTTAACGTGTCTGTAAATGAAGGGCAAATCTTACAGTCAAAGTTTTGACTACTTTCAGATTATTTAATTTGTTTGAGCTTGAAGTACAAATCTTAATTAAATAAATTGAAGTGGTAAGAAATTATTTGATTTAAAACTTCATTCGCTTCAGAAATATACAAATAGGAAATAACAGTCGACATGTTTCAGGCACTTAAAAACGAGGCGATTATTTTTGAGCGCTTGAAAAATATCGACTAATATTTCTGTAAAACCACTGATATTTCTGACAATCATATTTTTGAAGCGAAGAAGTTTTAATTGTTTCTTTAGAGATATGTGTAGAATATGTTGCCTATCAATATTTCAACAACTTTATATAACAGGCATAACATTAAAGTAAAACGATAAATCGAATAACGTATTTTTTTAAGAAAAAAGATGTGAAGTAGTCTTGAAAGATGTGAATAATTATTTTTTCACATTTAATGCAAAAATAGAGTTAGGTGCATTATTTTCATAATAAGCTTACATCACCATTTAAAAAATTAAACTTCCTTTGCTAAATTTATCTAATGATCGGATTTTTATGAATTTACTAGCATACAAAGGGTAAATTTTAAATATTCTGATTGATAAAACATAATTTTTACATAAATGTATTGCAGACTATATTTTATGTAACCAAATCGGACAAAAATATATTTCTCTGAATTAACGTACCTGTTTTTTACAATGGATTCACAATGTCCTTTGAAAAAAAAAACAAAAAAAAAACAGGATTTTAATCAAGAGAGCGGTCAAGTGTTTGAATTCATAAATGCTTACTTTTTGCGTATTTCACAGTATCGCGGGAAAAAGATTAAGGAAATGAAAAGGGGAAAAGACATTTGCGCCCAGTTTAAAATATGCTTATTTGAAAATAATTCCCTGCAAGAAGAAAAAAATTCAATAACCATTCATTTTTAATTTAATGAAGATCTAAACACTTTTGAACTGTAAGGAACGGAAATTTTTGCATAATTAAGATATAAATAATGAACTCCACAATATTGTATTCAAATACAATTATTAGATCAAGCGTTGTTCAAATTTTTGTTATTATTTGTTTATTTATTTGCACGCAGTATATTTCCTGAACACTTAAGTTAAAACTCGAATAAGTGAACAAGATACGAGGCATTTTTAATTAATACATATAAATAACTTGAGTACGGTCGGTAAGCCGTACTTTTTCCAAAGATTGCAATTTTAGATGAAACTCTTCTTTACAATTTTTTTTTAAAATTTAATTCTTTACATTTCATAGCGTATTGCCTATGAAATTTTGAAAATACTCATAGTTTAGCTACTACATAAATTATTTCAAATAATAGAATGCACTGGCGTTGTAACCAGCCGGGGGGGGGGGTCTGAGGGTCCCGATCCCCCAAATAATTGGGAGACCAGGGTCCATTATTTTGAGAACTATTATTTGTTTCTATATCTTTTACTCTTTTTTTTTCACTCTCCTCTTCTTTCCCTTTTTTTACATTGTTCTACTTCTTACATTATATTATTAAAAGAAATTTAATTAAAAGAAAATTAATTTAAAAAAATGCACAAAAAAATGAACTGCATAAAAAAATAAAACAAGTGTTTAAAGAACTACAAGAATTGTCTTATCCTTCAATAAGCACAAGAAACACTCTTTACATAGTTCTTTTTCTTCATGCTCTAACTGATAAAGATTGATTCAAAGCATCCTAACTTTCCACCACCACTGAGGAGTCATTTGATACCTCAAAAATAGCCGCCTCAGTTTACGCTATGGGAAATAAGTGGTATTTTTTGCCCTGGGCTTCTATATCTATAGGATATCAGCAGAACCATCTCTTTGTTGTCTATCTATTCATATATTGTCTCAAACAGGCAATTATCTAGAATTTCTGGGAAAACAGATGTACTAAGCTTTTAGGGATTTAAGTAGGGAGAGACTATTGTTGATATTTTTTTATTTTTTTTGGTGATTTTGGCAAGAGACTTTCTCTGACATACAATCATTCTAAATCTTCTCTTACAAAGCACTCGGAGTTCTATTCCACTATAATTTAAATTAACTATTTCCAGTTTAAAATTTTGATAAATATAAATATAGTATTTTGTTTAATTGTTTAACTTAAATTATTAGTTCTTTTTTTATCAATTTGACAATTTAATCGAAACAATTTTTATTTATTTATTTTGCATTTATAATTTTCTAAATAAATTGCGCCATCAAAAACTCCAGTTCTTAATTAAGTTTATCTTTTGATTACAAGAACTCATTAAATAAATATATTTCTTGGTAGGTAAGCAAATGCTTGTATTAAATTACGTAATACATTTATAATTGTATGTTTATGTATGGTTAGAATTGTTTTATGTTTCTTAGTTTAGATATCAAATTTATTTGCATAGTACATTAGTTCATGTTTTTACCCTTCGCTGTTTGCGCATGAATCTATTTTTAATGCACGGAGTTTTCTTATTTTATACTTATAAAATTAATGTAACTTTTAAATTTTTAAAATTATAAACCCAAACTTAGAATTTTTAGGATTTTTCAATTACTTTGTTTTAATTAATAAATCAAATTCACGTTTAATTTTATAAAAAATTTGCATATAATTTAATAAACAATTTTGAAAGAAAATTGATAATTTATGTCCTTATACAAAAAATTAACATCAACTTGCATTTTGATTAATTAAAAGAACAAAAAAATATTTCAAATGCAAAAGTTTACTAAAAAAATCCATATGATTTTATTATGCTCATTAATAAAAACAGTAATAAAAATATACTGTTAAGAATTGGATAATTTGTTAAACTTGATTTATTGTATGAGTGTGTTAATCGTACTTTATGCAGTTTTATTTATTTTATTTTTATCAAAATAACATAGAATTTTTAAAGTAAATATTTGTGCTAATTAACATTTTCAGAATTTTGTATTTTCACAAATATTTTTTCAGAATTAAAAGTATTAATTTTTTAAAATTTTAATACTGAAACTATAAATACTGCTGAACGAGGAAGAAAATTAGAGTTAATAAAAAGGTAAATACATTAAATAAAACATGCATAAAATTTATTCCGACAGCTATTATAAAGTATCATAGCTCCTAAATATTAACACTAGTTTTGGCAATCAATTGAATAATTTTATTTTCCTCTTTAAATACAACAATTTCGATTTTTGAAGCCATATAGGGTAAAATGGATCAAGATGAGAAAAACTCTAAACTGAAAACTTTTTTAATATTCTTAAATTTTCCACTTTTGTTTTTATAGTTTAGAGTTTCGTATATACGTATTTTTTTAATCATGATAATCTTTACTGTAACCAATGTTTGAGATAGTTACTCTAACATTTTTTTTTAATGTTGTATTCTTCATCTCAGAAATGCATATCAATTCAAATTCATAGTAAAAAAAAAAGTGTTTTCTTTTTGTTTAGCAAAGCGTTTTCTTATTTTTCTCTAAAAGTTCGACTACAATAGGATTCACTTAGGATTGCATGACATAATAATATTCATTTATAAATTTCATGTCATTCAGATAGAAAGTTTTAACAGACAAAACAGTTAAAACATTTTCTTTTCAAAATAAAACTAAATTTTTAAGACACTGTAGATATTGAATTTAAGCAACTTTACTTTTATATCGATGTACCTAAAGACACCTTACAATTTGAATAAAAACTTAAAGGCCAGTGAAAAAAATTTGAGAAATGATAATGAAAGGATTTAAATGTTATTGTATAATTAATTTAAGAATTAATATATAACGCAACAGACTTCGTAATTTATTATTATCAGAAAAAAAGTGTTACTGTTACAAAATTAGTATTTCAATTAAAATCAACATAAAAAAATAATATAAAAAAATATAAGAATTTAGAAGCTTGTTTAAGAGTCGTTTTTCCAAATTACTTTTAATATTCTATAGTTTTAATAAAAGAAATTAGTTTTTAACTAAGTTAGGTTTTACACCATCGTAATATCGTCTTTCCTCACTCGTGGACATAGCTTCTTCTTTCGGCTTCCTTTTTTACCATAAATAGTCTTTCAATTTTAAGAACTTAACACTAGTCTTTGATCTTGATCTATCTTTATCATCTCAATAATACGACTATTTATTCTTGTTGAAGGAAAAGTTTCGATCTGTACTTTCCATGGTCAGTTAACCTCTTACCTTCACAATTTTCACAAAGAGCATCAAAACTTCGAAACAAATGCGTGGCAAATTTGCAAATAGAGGTTTCGTTACTATCTTCGTAGTTGCCATAGTTTTTTCTTTAATTAT